AAGAGATGTAGGAGCTCATCAATGGAGGATGAAGAATTCCTCACTAAAAGCAGTGAGTTGTGAGTAAAGGTCCCAATTTGCCCGATCAAATTGCCAGCAAGGGCTACAGATTATTATTATTATAATCAAAAAGAAGTGCTAAGCCACAAGGACTATACAGCGCTGCACGAGGGCTACGGAAAGGTGGTGAATATGAAGAAGTAAGAATGATTGGAAAATGATTGCTGTCATGTAAGTCCGGTAGAACAGACCAGGTGAAGTCTAGTGCAGTGGAGGAAGAGCAGACTGATAGATCGATGCAAGATAGAGTATGAGTACGAGGATCAAAATGGGTGGGAGTGCCCGTATTTAGAACATGGAGGGGGTGAGAGGCGAGAAAAGCCTCCAACTGGATGCCACGTGAGTCACAATGAGACCCCCCCCAGAGGAAATGGTGGGCATTAAAATCACCAAGTAACAGAAGTGGTGGTGGTAAGGATGAAACTAGAAAGGCAAAATTTAGGGGACTGGAGATGAAGTGTGGGGGGGGGACAGAAGAGGCAGAAACCTGGGAGGTGGCAGAAGAGGGAGAAACTTGGGAGGGGACGGGTGTGGAAGGCATAGTATGAGGAGGGTGAACCTCCACACTTGTAATAGAGCCAGAGAGAGAGGAAGAACTAGGCACAGAGACTGGAAAGGTAAAGTGTGGAGGTGGAAGAAGGGAAGGAAGGGGCAAAGAAGATTTGAGCAATGTGGATTTTTTTGGACTTCTGAGAAGTAGAGGGGCGATTGGTATAAGGTGTCGTACGAGGTCTTGTCGATACTGGGACTTGTGAGGAAGGACGCGAAGATGTGAGAACAGACTGAGTTGTAGTCGGGACTTCAGAGCCAAGGACAGTAAAAGGATTAGATGCCGGAGTGGCTATGGGAGGGGTAACAACAGAGGAGGCTGCAGAAGATGGGACCCCAGAAGTGGGAGGATGTTTTGAAACACGAGAATAAGAAACACAGGGCAGTCTTCCTCGGAGGCAGAGATGAGTAACTGCCATAGCATAAGGGAGACTTCTGCCTCTTTGAGGCAACAGATTTCACGCTCACTTAAGTAGACCTGGCAACGGCGGGAGTACGAAGGGTGAGCTTCATTACAATTAAGGCAAGATGGAGGTTGACTGCAAGATGTATTAGAATGGTCGTCGGCACCACAGACTGGGCATTCGGCTATAAATCGACAATATTTCGCTGGGTGACCAAAACGCCAGCAATTTCTACACTGTTGTGGTGTAGGGATCACCTTTCGAACTTGTAACCTGTCCCACGACATAAACAGAGGACGGGAGTTCTCGGCTGTCGAAAGTTAATCGAGCCACATTGCAAGGGTAACGTCTCCGCCCACGGGCAGGAAGGACACAAGTGTCGACTTTGAGGATTGGGAGATCCTGGAGTTCAAGCTGTTCAAGGATGTCATTGCCACATGACTGGAAATTCTGTTGGACTATGGTATGGGACAGAATGACAGTACCACTACAAGAATTGAAAGATGTTTTTCAATAGTGATAGTAGTAGTATTGATATGCAAAAGGAGAGAAAGATCATGAGCTTGTCTTAGCATTCTGGACAGTGACAATGCACGTACCGCTCTTGAGAGCATGAAATGAAATATCTCTACCAACATGACGCAGGAGTGCTTTGCCAATCCTATGGTCAGAAAGATAGGCAGAATTATTATTATTATAATCAAAAAGAAGCGCTAAGCCACAAGGGCTATACAGCGCTGCAGAAGAAGTCGGTCTTAAAGTAAAGAATTTAGTCCATTGTGTAGTTCGAAACTGAGCATGGATAGGGAGTGCATGACGTGTCGGTCTTTTCCGAGTAGAACGGGAAGGTAATGAAGGAACATCGTCAGGAGACTGACGTTGGCGTTTAGGAATAGGACCGGAGTTGGTCCGTCATGAAACGGGCTGGCAATTCAAAAATTGCCGTACCGTAGAGGGAGAGGCCTGAAGCATAGTCAAAGGAGAGCGGAGGTCAGACAAATCGAAGGAGTCAGTCGAAGCCCCAGTACCTGAAGCGGGTGAGGAAACAGCACCAGCAAGAGGTACAGGGGCATCAGGAGTGTCCGAAGAGTGGTCTAAAAACAAGGCAGGGTCAGAATGGGGTGCAGTATCAAGAAGGGGCCCGGGGGTAGTGGGTTCATGGATTGGGTTCTCCATGGTTAGGTTACTCCTTTGCTTTTTGTTTTTAAGAAAAAAAAAATAAAAATAAAAAGAATAAAAAAAGGGGGGAGCGGGGAGTAATAGTTCCCAGAAGGAATGAAAGGGCTGGAAATCTCCCTCTGCGCCCAAGAGGACCTCAGCACCACTAGTAGCACAGATGCAGCATGGAACCCGTGCCATACCCTACCCTTCATGCCAGTAAACAAGCAATCCGGGATAGCAACCTCACATCAGCTGAGCTACCTCGGTGGACAAAAGAGAGGGCGGCCGGATATCCGCCACAAGGCATACCTCCTTCGGCCACCACCCCTGGAATCCGAAAGGTGGCTTCCAGGGATACACCCGTCGCCCGAAAGACACCCAAAGCTACACTCAGGGATACCGGAGAGGGATCGGGACATCCCCAGGCGATCCAGATTCCACGGCAAACTACGCCACCGCCAAGAACCTCAACGGAATGGGATGGACCCGGGTATCCTTTCCCCTACCTAGGAACTAGCGCGCCTGTGGGAGAAACCCCAAAGGCCAAAAAGAGGAAGGGCAAAAGGGAGGGGTGGGGAGGAGGAGGAAAGGAAAAAGGGGAGGATGGGATAGGGAAGGGGGGATTGGGGGGTAATTAGGTTCGGTCTGAGGAAGGAGACCGACAGGTCTAATTCCTCACCCCAAGAGCCTCTTCACAACAAGGAGCTCCCGTTGAAGAGGCATTCAGGCTCTGTTCAGGGAACCGGATTATTATTATTATAATCAAGGGGGAAGCGCTAAACCCGGAGGATTATACAGCACCTGGGGGGGGGATGTGGAAGGCATTCAGGCTTAATTCGGGGAACTGGAGCAGATCCAATTCCCTAAATCAAGAGCCCCTCACCAACATCAAGGAACCTTCCTTGAGGGGTCAGGGAACCGGAGTACAGATCCAATTCCTTAAATCAAGAGCCCCTCACCAGCGCCAAGGAACCTCCTTTGAAGGGTCTGATTTGTTCAGGAAAAAACAAAATGCATTAAGGGGATTTAGAACCATCAGTATACATTGTAAAAACCAGAGAGTGAGATTAGAAGTGATCAAGAATAAACATAAAATTGTATGAGGCAAGTGAACTTTTCCTATGGAAGTGAGGAGCAAACATGAACTGTCAAAATTTCCTGAGAAGGGAGGAAAAAGACGCAGGGCGAACGTAAGAGATAAATTAAGAGTAATTCCATTATACTCACAGGGAAGTGCGTAGTCCTGTCTTTGTCAGATAATGAACCATCACTGGCTCCCAGAGGGCTGTTTCTAGCCCTCAACCTGCATGTTGGGTGTTAGTGGACTGGTGTGGGTGGCATCCCGGGTGTTAGTGGACTGGTGTGGGTAGCATGCTGGGTGTTAGTGGACTGGTGTGGGTCACATCCTTTGAAGGAAATTAGATCTAGATCTTTCGGTGCTCTTAGCAATATGTATTATAATCATGGGGGAGTGCTAAACCCATAGGGATTATACAGCACCTGTGTAGAAGGGAGGGGATGAAAGGTATTCAGACTCAATTCAGGGAACCGGAGCACAGACCCAATTCCCTATATCAAGAGACCCCTTTCGGGGTCTTAGCAATAAAAATAAGTATCTATCCAAACTAAAATTAACAAAATAGCTACTGGCACAAAGCACAGTATGACCAGTTTAAGTTAAAAATCCATGAAACTCGCCTAAAAGTTCTCAAGAAACCACAGTCCATAGTTATAAAAGACTATGGAATTGGCAATTTATATATGCTCCAGTCTGCTGCCTGCCTCGAGTCCCATGCAGATGGACAGTAACAACTGCAAGCTATGGGTATTGCACACCCGACCTTAAAATAAAACAAGATATATTGTAGCTCTTCTATATTCATGTTTAATACTTCATCTGTAAGAGTTGTAGTGTCTGGGGTAAATAAACTATTTCATGGGTAAGCACTAAACCCACAGGTTAGGCAACACCTGGAGAATGGGAGGCAATCAGGTTCAATCATAGTGGATGAAAAGTCGTGCTAAACCCACAAGGGTCATATTACTATTAAAATAACTAGTATTTAAAAAACGTAACTCAGGATTATACTTAGGAGGGGAGCACTAAACTCTTACAATGTCTGGGGAATGGGAGGTATTGAGGTTCAATTCACAGGAACAAGCAGGTGTTAATTCCTTAGATCAAGTCTCCTCACCATTATAATCAGAAAGCACTAACCCACAATGGTTATACAGCAGTCCCCTCACCAGCCTGTAGCACTCGGCATGGCAAGAAACCAGGTCTAATTCATCAACTCAGACCTCCTTAAGCAACAAGTAATTGCCCTAGAAGGGTCTGTGATCGTTGGGCAAAAATGCACATCAGGGCACTAGAGGTGTTTAAATGCATATTGAATGCAATTAGAATGTTCTTCAAATATGCATGTATATGCAATTACACCTCATATTCACTACTGCCAAACCCTAAGGGTCTATTGTACAGTATTTATATACGAGTTAAACCCATTGGAGTATTATATGACTGGGGAATGAAAGGCAAGTCATATATGACTACAACGTTTCTATTAGATCAAGGAACTCCTCTCCCACTTAAGTGGTGAGGGGGGGGGGGGGGGTACAAACACTAGAGATACAAAGTGTATCGAGATCCCATTGGGTGACCCTATATTAAGATACGACTAAGTTTTCTTTCACTGCACACAAATGGTTATTTAATGATTCTGCCAAGTTTTGTTAATAGCACCTTCAATAAAGGTTGTACTAATTCCTCACAAAATACTGAATTGAAATTATTTACATAAACCAGTTTTTAAATGAAAACCAATCTTGTCTGATATTCCCTCATCTTTTTAATTTCCAATAACTTCACATTAGGCCAATAAGGAGCCTATATACACAACCACAGTTTATTTAGAATCTAAGCTTCTGGAAAAGCCATCGATTCTTGCCACTCTTGTATCTGAAAAGATTGAAAACGATGTTAGTAACCATAATTTTTCAATTACACTATTTTTTAAATGCCACCTTATGTGCACCTAAATGATCAGAATTATCTAAAGTATTTAAAAACACAGTTACTTTTTGCTGATGATACTGTGCTTATAGGAGATTCTAAAGAAAAATTTCAAAGGTTAGTGGATGAGTTTGAGAATGTGTGTAAAGGTAGAAAGTTGAAAGTGAACATAGAAAAGAGTAAGGTGATGAGGGTATGAAATGATTTAGATAAAGAAAAATTGGATATCAAATTGGGGAGGAGGAGTATGGAAGAAGTGAATGTTTTCAGATACTTGGGAGTTGACGTGTCGGCGGATGGATTTATGAAGGATGAGGTTAATCATAGAATTGATGAGGGAAAAAGGTGAGTGGTGCGTTGAGGTATATGTGGAGTCAAAAAACGTTATCTATGGAGGCAAAGAAGGGAATGTATGAAAGTATAGTAGTACCAACACTCTTATATGGATGTGAAGCTTGGGTGGTAAATGCAGCAGCGAGGAGACGGTTGGAGGCAGTGGAGATGTCCTGTTTAAGGGCAATGTGTGGTGTAAATATTATGCAGAAAATTCGGAGTGTGGAAATTAGAAGGTGTGGAGTTAATAAAAGCATTAGTCAGAGGGCAGAAGAGGGGTTGTTGAGGTGGTTTGGTCATTTAGAGAGAATGGATCAAAGTAGAATGACATGGAAAGCATATAAATCTATAGGGGAAGGAAAGAGGGGTAGGGGTCGTCCTCGAAAGGGTTGGAAAGAGGGGGTAAAGGAGGTTTTGTGGGCGAGGGGCTTGGACTTCCAGCAAGCGTGCATGAGAGTGTTAGATAGGAGTGAATGGAGACGAATGATACTTGGGACCTGACGATCTGTTGGAGTGTGAGCAGGGTAATATTTAGTGAAGGGATTCAGGGAAACCGGTTATTTTCATATAGTCGGACTTGAGTCCTGGAAATGGGAAGTACAATGCCTGCACTTTAAAGGAGGGGTTTGGGATATTGGCAGTTTGGAGGGATATGTTGTGAATCTTTATACGTATATGCTTCTAAACTGTTGTATTCTGAGCACCTCTGCAAAAGCAGTGATAATGTGAGAGTGTGGTGAAAGTGTTGAATGATGATGAAAGTATTTTCTTTTTGGGGATTTTCTTTCTTTTTTGGGTCACCCTGCCTCGGTGGGAGACGGCCGACTTGTTGGGGGGGGGGGGGATGCAAATAAATCACAATGTACTTTAGTGGAAAAGTATCACCTACAGTATCATATGTAAAACCATTCATGAAAAAAGTCTTATTCTCATTTCAATAAAACTTTACAAACACAACTACATATATGATAGCGTACAAGTTGGCCCCTAAAATTCTGAGGTGTTAATTCAGGTTTAAGCCTTTATTTGCTCGAGTCTGGTGGAAGGATGCTGACCTGACTTAAGTTCAGACGGTGTGAGTGACTAATATGGACCATTAAGAGATTAGGAAATAGTGCATTTTATTTAAAAATGAAGTACAAATTATGGTACTAGCATATCAGCAGCAGGCTAGTGGTGTCACTTCCTTCCCTTGGTAATGCGCAGTGTCCTTATTTTCACATCTGCCATGTATCAGCAACTTTTATAGCCGGCTTCAATAGTCAACTTGTACACTGGTATATATGGTATTTCCAATTTTATTTAAGTCAATTCTGAGGGAGGAACTGAAGCTTAAAAAATACATTTACTTCAAAATATTTCAACCCAGTTGCTATGGTGATATTCAACAAAGAACAACCAGAAATGGCCCACAAACCAGCTTTGCAAGAAATCTCTAAATACATATATATCACCATACAAGTCTGAGATTTTTAAAACTTTCATCGCTTGGCCACCATTATCCCTCTGTTTCACTTCTGCTACATACATGGCTTTTTTTTAGTTTGCAATTTTTATAATGCAATTTGTTGTTATTCCTAAAATAGAAAAGCTATACTCTCTTTTACATACTACAGGGTGTTCCACATACATGTTACCATAATTTATGATATCACTTTATGAATACAGTATAACCAATATTTTTTGGGGCATAGATGTGCCGAACTTGCACACGAAAATCACTCACTACGAAAGCAAAAGACTTGGCAGACGATGCAACATCCCCCCAATGAAAAGCAGGGGTGTCACTAGCACGTTAAGAGATCATACAATAAGTGTCAGGGGCCCTGAGACTGTTCAACTGCCTCCCAGCATACATAAGGGGGATTACCAACAGACCCCTGGCAGTCTTCAAGCTGGCACTGGACAAGCACCTAAAATCAGTTCCTGACCAGCCGGGCTGTGGCTCGTACGTTGGTTTGCGTGCAGCCAGCAGCAACAGCCTGGTTGATCAGGCTCTGATCCACCAGGAGACCTGGTCACAGACCGGGCCGCAAGGGCGTTGACCCCCGGAACTCTCTCCAGGTAAATTCCAGGTAAACACCATTATAGTGTACAGAGTCCTTCAAATGCCTTGACTCCTCCCCATCCTTTTTTATAGTAGTAGTTCCAAACTTAACTAGGTTGTGAAGTCTTAATCTGGGCTGACTTACTGTTAGCAATTATGCCTCCCAGCACAAGGATCAGCAAAATCATTTGCCATTGGACTTAACTCCATCTAATTAGATTAAGGTAATGTGTAAATGGAACACCCTGAAGAATGTAAAAAAAAAAAAAAAAAAAGCAGTATAGCTTTTCTATTATAGAATTAACAGACTGCAGTGTAAAAATTACACACTATAGAAAAGCCATGTATGCAGCAGAAGTGAAACTGAGGGTTAATGGCAAAGTGATGAACATTTTAACAAATGTACATTTGTTCATGGCTTAATCAGCCATGAATAAATGCACACTTTACATTACAATGGATATCTAGTGTGCCTCTTCCTTCATTATGACATTTCCAAACTCAATTTGTTCGTACAGACATTATTACAAACAAAACTAAATGCTAAACCCACAAGGGTTATACAGTAGACACCATAGGTGATGCAATAATAAACAAGAGGAACTTTATAATGCTATTTCAGACCACTGGAAATCTGTTCAATAAAAACCAAACACTGACCTTTCTTCCAAGGTATACCTGACAACTTTACGTGCCTTCTTCCTCCTGCCAGGGTCCTTCAAGGTCTCTTTGTTGACCTTAGCTTTATCAAAGATAATGTCTGTGGCTGTATAACGAGTAGGCATAAGATGTTTCAGGTTCACAATCTGAAATTATACACGACAAAACATAAGAATATAGGACTACTGCAATAATGTTGGCAGTGGGAAATTTGTTAAAAGGCAGCGTGATGCATGTAAACACCAAGGTGATGTTTCGTTTATACAGTAATTTTTAAATTTAACCATCCTTTCAAACGGAAGTGGCCAAGAAAAATGTCATTCATTATGGTAAATGAATACTCAGAATAAAGAATTAGGAATACGGTATTAGGTATAATTCATAGTTTGGAGATTAAGAAGAGGTGCTTGGTTACTAAGAGGACTGAGGAGGGGTTGTTAAGGCAGTTTGGAGAGGATGGAGCAAAATAGGACGACTGAGGTTACTAACCTTGACAAATGGTTTAATCTTCGACCTCCTTGCAATCTTTCTCTTGCTCATGCTTTTCGTTACTCTACGAGGGTAACGCTCAATGCCAGCAACTAAGGCGTGCTCATAAGGCCGATCTTGAGTGCCATCATCATTACTCTTAATTACAATTGCCTTTTTACCAGCTTGTTTTCCAGTGAGGAGGATGACAACACGGCCAGGTTTGTACACCTTCACCATTGTGCTGTAAAAAGATAACGCACTATTAAACACAGAAATAAAAATTAAAATGTTTTGTACAGTACAGTATATGACTAGTTACCTATTCATTATATTTATACAGAATATATCTGTTAAAGAGTTTTGGTAATCAACCCCACAAACCAGTCTTTAGATCAAGCTCACAAACCCTAAAACTTACAAAGAAAATATTTCAATTCTACTAAGAAAAACATTAAATAAAACCTTATGCATGCTGAATGCAGGTAGAATTTATCAGTACAAATCCATCTTTTCTTCTTTTTACACCAATGAATTCACATCCTATCCTATCTGATACTTTCCAAGCTCAGTCTTCTCTAAGGTACGCTATCATCCTCTGGGATGCAGTCCGCTGCAGTTAGCTAGCACCCAAGTACCTACTAATTGCTAGGGGAATATAGGGGCAATCCTGGTCTGAACTCACACATGAAAAATACAAGCATGTCATCTATACCCCAGAAATAATTATTTCTCTTGCAGTTTTATATTTTTGGGAGGTATTAGCAAAAATATTTATTTTCACGTGAACACATCAACAGTTAGTAGTGTAACGCACCTGGTCAATCACATTTTCTTACTATTACATTTACGATGTGCTAAACTCTTAGGGGTCATGCAAGTGATGTTCAATTCCTTGGATGAAGAGCCCACCAGCATCAAGGAACCTCCCGAGGGGCAGCCAATCACAGCAGTGTAAACAATGACGCATCGAATGTTAAAGACGCAAATGTAAATACTAGAGAACTATTATAATTATGGGGGAGCGCTAAAACCGTAGGGATTATACAGCGCATGTGGGGAGGATGGAAGGTATTCAGGTAACTGGAGCAGATCCAATTCCCTGGATCAGGAGCCCCTCATCAGTGTCAAGGAACTTCCCTTGAGGGGAAATGCTCGAGAAATGTAAGCAAAAGCAAAAAGATAATAATAATAATAAAGCGCTAAACCTACAAGGGTCAGGAAGAGACGCATCCAATGTAAACAAACAATTTCCTTATCTATCGCTGCCATTAGGTTTCCTTAAATTAACTTTCTTACTATCTCCACAAAATTCTCACCTAATCCACATAACTTGGAAATTTTTAAAAAATAAAATTATCGAGTAAATCAGACCATAACTTAATAATAATCGTAAACTTTGCTTACAATATATACCGCACTGAAGCACTGTGATACATTGCATCCCATTACATTTACCTACTTCAGAATATAACCTTCATTCACACAAAATCATGCTCATAACAGCAAGAAAAAAAAATCGTAACACAAGAAAATACATATAAATTGTCATATACCCATTTGTTTACATCAGGTTCACGGCCTCCACAAAACAAATAATTTTATACATTTATATGGAATTCATCCAACACAATTCACAATAAAACTTTGCCAATGTATAATCACATCCTATATAATTCCACCAAATAATAATAATCGCCAAGGGAGCAACGATTAGAGAGATTTTTCAGGATTTATGCCAATATTTGGACTCACATCGGTGCTCCTAACACAGCTTCTTGGCGAGAGATCAGTGGAAAAGAGCGAGCTGGCAACCATGACCTGTTCAATGGTTCTTCATATAAATGAAACTAAAATTAAAATATTTTTATTTCCCCAAAATTTATAATAGTTAAAAAATGGTTTGAAAAAAAGTGATATGTGTTATAACATTAGTGGAAAGTTTCTAGTTATGCAGAGCATTTCGGGCTCACTAATATTAAATCATAAAATTTACTAATTTAACATTAATTCACATTATATAACTCCAGTATTTTTTTTTATTTCCCTCTTAATAAACAGTTCATTACCACTTTAATTAGCTTGGCTCTCATACACAAAAATATTTTTGGACTCGGTTCTTGGACCCATTATTTGCCTCTGTGATTTTTTAATGTGTTTATTTAGGCTTTATACGTAATTTTAAGTCTTTACAATAATTATACATAGTTAATGTTATATATATATGAACCTACAATACCCCAGTAAAGTCAAACAATGCAACTTATTTCCATTAGGCTAGTTTAAACTTAGATAAACTTATTGTAAGGCTATGTTGTGTATAATTAAGGTATCAAACTAAACTAAAACTATTATATAAGCATAGAATTTGCAATTACCTATTTGTAATTATGTATTTGTAACAAAAGATTTGCTGGTTGTGTCCTGTCTTCAATAATTTGTTCAAGAAGCCCAATGGAAATAAGTCACTTTATTTAACCTTTTTTTTGGGTTATCTTAGGTAATTTACACATATGTTATTATATATAATAATTGTACTTATGTGTACTTGTGCCTAAATATACTTACTCATAATTTAAAAAGTCCACTGGTTAAGTAAGTTTATTTAGATACAGATAAGTAAGTAACTTTATTTAGCTACAGGTACACATAAATATAATTATCATACAAAATAACATATGCAAATTACTTAGTATAACCCCCCAAAAAGTTAAAATGACTCATTTCCAGTGTGGTCCTTATCAACATATTCTTGTAACTCATTCCACTAATCTACAACTCTACCAATAAAATATTTCGAGTATTCATTCTGCTTCACTTTTTTCTCAATTTCAAAAAAATTATTTTTGTTCATTACAAAGATGATGATCAGCTGAGTGAGGTCAACACAGCTGCTGCCTCTCACTTGCTGCCATCAAGTAAGATTTTCTTCATTTATTACATTATTCTTGCTGTTTATGTCTTTATCTCGTGTTTTATGTACCCTAATAAACCTTATACAATATTGGGTTGCCGTGAGAAGTATTTAATATATTGGAAAATAGTGTTCTCACTGCGCTAAAATTGTACTAAATTTCTGGTTTAAGAAATTCCAGACGAGACTTGAATGATAATATGACCATAATTGTAAAATATCCACGGGGGGAGTTGAATGATAGCTCTAGGCCTTTCGTATTGCAATCAACGCATCATCAGGAGCTTGCAATGTTGCAGAAATAGAGTAGGAAATCCAGGCAACAGTTTGGTTCTCCAAAATTCTGGAGAGTAATTCCCATGAAGAAATCTGCTTGGATTTCCTACTTTATTTCTGCAACATTGCAAGCTCCTGATGTGTTGATTGCAACATGAAAGGCCTAGAGCTATCATTCAACTCGCTGCGTGGTTATTTTATATCTTTTATAGTTTGTCTTCGATATCCATAATTATTGTTCATTTTCACCTGTGACCCTAATGGCCTTAGAACCTTGTATGAATGTTAATAATTATTCATTTTAAATTCACCAGGTGAGAAGTATTAACTTAGAAATATGTTAAGAGTACCTGCAGGTTTATACTAGTTAATACCTCATACCTGGTGAAGCTAGGATAAGATAAGATTTTCAGATTTTTAACCTGGCAGGGTTAGCCACCCGGGATAATCCGAGGAAGTCAATGCGTCGTTGAGGACTGTCTGTCTTATTTCCATTGTGGTCATACAATCTTGTCCTCCAGGATAAGTTAGCTAACACCCAGGTACCTAGTTACTGCTGGGTGAACGGGGACAGTAGGTATAAGGATACACGTACACCTAGTATTTCCACCCTTGCCGGGGATTGAACTACAGACGCTCAGTGTGTGAACTGAGAGTGTTGCCTACCAGGGCACGGGACACTGTAATTATTATTGCAGTCGCTGGGTAAGAAGTATTAATTAGTAGGAACCAGATAAAATTATCTGCAGGACATCCTAATAGATTACTACTAATTAATACTTCTTAACAGGTGAATTTGTAATGACCCCAGAGGAAATAAGTCGCTCTGACTTTTTTGGGGGGTTACCCGAGGTAATCAACATATGCTACTATGTAGGATAATATATGTAACTGTATTTATGTGTACCTGTACCTGAATAAACTTACATTGTATATTTATGGATTTAAATACTCTTAAATTATTGTTAATGTAAATATAGCATATAATAATTTCTTTCTCTAGTCACGGGCACTTGATCCAAGGAATTTTAACTGCTGTGACCTTCCTTGGCTTTCTTGGGTTATCAACCCTGGGAGGTTACCAATGTAAATACTGTCTTCTTAACCTCAAAAATATTGTATCGATTACTGTACCAACAATACTGAAGAGTTTTGTTTTTGTACTTGTGTTATCTCATTGAAGCTCTTCAAAGATGGTGTCTTGATGTTGGAGCTACCTTTCCATTCCTTGGATCAAACCTGTTTAAATCCTGCTCCTAAGGCTCCTTATGACCCCTAGCGGTTTTTGGCATTTCATCATAAATGTAATATTCTCATTTAAGCACATTTGTAGATCATTATTTAAAGTCATCAGATAATGATGAATTAGACACTTGTGCAACTCTTGGGTATCTTTATTGTGGAAACGGTTCCCCAGCCAGTGGCTTCTTCAGTCCAATACAGGGAAGGATGGTTGAAGATCAGAAGGAGTTTGAGGTAATCAGTCCCTCAGCCTGGCGTTGATGTGTTCAGTCCATTAATCTTGAACTGATCATATCAGCTTCAGGCTGAGGGACTGATTACCTCAAACTCCTTCTAATTTTCAACTATTCTTCTCTCTATTGGATTGAAGAAGCCATTGGTTGGTATAACATTTCCACAATAAAGATACCCAAGAGTTGCACAGGTGTTTAAGTCATCATCGTGTTGGTTCGGTGAACCATTTATCTACATCAACAGGTAATATTTAGAGCAGCTGATAACATATAAAAATTATAGCCACAGGTGGTTATACTCTACTGCATAAACAAAAGTTATGCTGAGTTAGTCATTGATAAGATTGATATTGTAATCAGTATCATAAGTATTCTTTATCATTGATATTAGTAATGTCTGTACCCACTCCATGTTAAGGCTACTCTGTGGTAATATGCATGAATATACATAAAATTCCCATTAGTTACCAGACCTCCCTACCCTCAGAGCCAGTAGTTTTCCGTCCACTATAGTAACACCAGCCGTAGGTTTTTCCCATTGGGAATTTTCATGTTTTGTTAGTGTTGTATAATATGTATTTAGGGAATGTTATGCATACTGTACAGACACTTGTTGAATGTTATTTATAATATCAAGATTTTACAAAAAACTGAGGGCCTTTCTTTTAGAACTTTTGAGTGATAGGATTGACCATTCAGCAAACAAACAAGAGTGAGTTAAGACAAGTGCCTTTGGAATTCAGTGTCTTATTGGAGTGTAATTAAGGCAGTAAGCACCTTTGGAGGGATTCAGGGAAGCTGGTTAGCCAGACTTTGAGTCCTGGAGATGGGAAGTACAATGCCTGCACTTGGAAGGATGGGCTGGGATGTGGTGGTTCAAAGAGTCACTATAACTGTGATATCATTGCACATCTGGCAAGACAGCTACTGAATGAGTGATGGTGACTGTGTTTCCTTTTTTGAGTCATCTTACCTTGATGGAAAGATAGTGTGGCTATTTGACTAACACTTGAGTACATTCCCAGATGTACCTCATTCATATATTCTAAATTTTATTTTTTGTGGTTAAATAAAGGTTCTCCTTGACTTGCGATGGGGTTACGTTCCAGCAAATCCATTGTATGTCGAAAATATCATAAATTGAAAATGAATATAACATTCTCAGTAAATAAGTTAATAAATAATTATTGTCACTGAATAAGTAAATAAATAATTACTGTAACTAAATACCAGTATTGAAAGTATGTAAATAAATAAATGCAAGTTACAGACTTGCTGCCTTCTTATCTGAGTACAGTAATTATCTTAAGTTTCATCTCTGAAGTAATTGCTTTTGCACCATCATAAAGTTGAAATATCGTAAGTTGAACCATCATAAGCCGAGGAGCAACGGTATGTTTTAATACAGTTGTGTAACCTAATTTAACCTGTAAGAAATACGTATTGCCAAAATAAAGGTAATGGTCTTAAGAAGGGAACTAGACAAGTTCACGTAGGATATGTCGTCTTTGTTTAACTTTCAGGAATAAAATAGTGTAATATAGTTAGACGCTAGAACCAGCAAGTGTACAGTTCAAGAAATTTAAATTTTTGGATGTTAATGGATATTTTGCTCTTATATATTATCGTAGTAGCTTGACATAATAATTTAGACTGCATTTAACAGATATGGCAGGACCCCCGTATCCGTGTGGAATATGTTCCAAGACTTACTGTGGACACCCGAAACCGCAGATAGTAGTGAACCCTATATTTGAGTAATTTTTCATTTACCTACATATCTATAGTATAGTTTGATAAATTATGTACAATAAATCGAGACTTAGTACTTTTTCACTGATGGAAAGCTTCCTGACTTCTCTTAGGCTGTAGAAAAATGTCAACATTGCTACTTTTGCATTTTGGGGCCATTATTGAGCATAATTAAGGGTTATTTTTGGGCCAGGGTAAACAGCAGATAACTGTAACAGTGGAAACCGGACCCACGGATACGGCAGTTCTACTGGAGTGTATTTAATTCTTTGTAGAACATTAGTATTTTTTTTTATCTCAGCTGATGGCTTGCTCTTTTTTGTTTTACCCACTTAACAATGGCATGTGTATGTGTTGTATGTATTCTGTTTCGACTGTTTTGCTCTGATAATTTACCTTTAATTTAGCAGGTGTGATGACGGAAAGAGAGGTTATGGTCAATGTGTTATTCTTTGCTGGAGCTCGTGACCTTGCAGGTGTGGATCGCTCGGCCTTAACGCTCACTGCAGTCACTACACCGGAACAGTTACTGGCGCAGGTGGTGCGTTCATTTGGAGAGATTGCCAAGATCAGGGAGAGTGTCATTATTTCACTAAACCACGAATACTGCGAACCAGGCCAAGGATTAGTGCTTTCCACTGGAGACGAGATAGCCATAATTCCACCTATCAGTGGAGGTACATTGCCCGCTTTCTGCCATGTTCATTGATCACCTAAACTCATTGAAGTGTAACATGCTAAGGCTATATATGCTACTCCTAAAACTCTTCATTAATGCTTGCGGTATCCCATGTTGTTTGTCTTTTGTCACCTGAAATGACATTTGCCTTTAGTCTGAATGTTAGTTGGGGCTGCTAGTATGACATCAAAAATCATTCAGGAGTGTAGTTTTAATTATCAGTGTTTATAATTAATGCAGGGACTATTATACAGTTTCTCCTCGCTTAACGATGAAGTTCCGTTCCTAAGACCACATCGGTAAACGAATTCATTGCTAAGTGAGGAGCATACTATAATGGCAGTGGGTTTGTGTCAACCATCTTTGATATTGTTTTAATGTCACCTTTGTGCCATTTATAACATTTCTGGTATATTTTTAAGTATGTGTACAGTAGTGTACTGTACATATATTGTAATTAACAGAATAGAGGAAATCATCTCTGATATACATTATTTAGGTATGCATACTTGTCAGAGAGCCCGTTGTAAGTTCGAGGCTTCGGTAAACGAATACGTCGGCAAGTGAGGAGAGGCTGTATTATTAATAAATGGTAAACTAAAGAGTTGTGTTCTCATGTTTATCTTTGGTTTTGTCAGTCCTGGGGTTTATCCCAATTTTTCATATATCTATAGCTTTCACAGCACAGATTATTCACACACTGTGGTTTTCAAAGTCATAACCACCATTTTGTACAAGAGTTTACTGTTTTACTTTTTAAATAATTATGTTGCAGGTGCTGTGCAATCAGTAAGTGCAAATACTCTTCACACAAAATTTTAAAGAGAGGGTACAGTATAAAAGAGAGGTGAACAGGAGGAAAGGTAGATGTCTGAAGGAGGAGTGTAAGGAGGGTGGTGTGAAAGAGGTATTGCGAGGTTGAGGCTTAAATGTCATACAGTTATATATACTATGTAGTTAAATCAGAGCACATTCTTTGGCATTTATTAGGCTTTGCAGTGTGAGTATGGTATAGTATAGTAATATCTATTTGATTCCATAATTAGTCACAATACTTAGGCTGGAACAATACATAACTAATTCATACTTAAAGCAGATAATAATTTGATCCATCCTAACTATTATCAAGTCATTATTAGTAAGCAGTATATATTGCACCAGAGTCTGTAATAGATTTTTTCTTTAGGTTAGATATTATGGACTATATACATCTAACTCTGGATGCTCTTTCTGTGGACAAAGTCACATCTCTGGTTACTGATCCCTCCTGTGGCGCCATCAGTGTTTTTATTGGAACTACACGTGACACATTCCAGGTAATGTGATCTTTATAATTCTTTTTGGTCTTTATGTTTGTGGAAAAGAATCCTCCATAAGCCATGTGTGTTGTAAGAGGCGACTAGCCGGGAGCAAGGGGCTAGTAACCCCTTCTCCTGTATAAATCAGTAAATGTAAAATGAAAAACTTGTTTTTCTTTTTAGGTCACTGTGCCTCGATGGGGTATGGCTGGTTAGTTGAAATATAAAAAATATTTTTTTTTATATTCTCTGTTTATTGTGTTCTGTTGCTTTTAACATTGCCCACCAATGTAAACTGAAACAAAGAAGGAAAACATGTTTACCTGGAGTTTACCTGGAGAGAGTTCCAGGGGTCAATGCCCCTGCAGCCTGGTCTGTGACCAGGCCGCCTGGTGGATCAGAGCCTGATCAACCAGGCTGTTACTGCTGGCTGCACGCAAACCAACGTATGAGCCACAGCCCAGCTGGTCAGGTACCGACTTTAGGTGCTTGCTCACTTATTCCCTAGTTTTTCTAGAGATACATTAACTTCACAATTCAAATGTTCCACCAGACTGAAAAATCTCCACCCATCCTTCAGTATGTCTGTAATCTTAAATCATTTTCTTTATATCTTTATAAGCCATATGATTTGTAAGAGGCAACTAAAATGCTGATAGCAAGGTGCTAGTAGCCCCTTCTCTTGCATAAATTATTCATTGTAAAAAGAGGAAAAGCTTTATAAAAGGTTTTCTTACTTTTTAAATTACCTTGCCTTGGTGGGAGATGACCAGTATGTTAAAAAAAACTATTTATGGATAAAGTTATTCATTTTAACAACATAATCTTGAACCTATTTTACAATTTCATTTAATAAAGAGGCCCTCCAAAAGGAAATAAAAAAAGACCTTATGTTAAGAATAAAATCTATTCATATAGTATTAACCAAAAGGACTTGGGTTTGATTCCCAGGTAGGGCAGGACATATGAGCAAGTTTTCTTACACCTGCCCCTGTTTACTTAGCAGGAAAATGGCACATACTTGGATGTTAGCCAACGGTTGTGGATTACATCATAAGGGATAGTAGTACATGTATACCTTAGGGCTGGCTCTTGAAATGAGCGGAGTTTCGGTAACGGCTTTTAGCCAGTAAAATTAAATTGCGTAAAACTAAATATTTAGTAATGTTACAGGGGATGATAGAGCAAAGGTCAAAATGGTAAACATAGACTAGAGGAAGTGTATTTAAATACTTGAGAGTAGCTAAAGAAAATATAATTATCATTTGTCAATGCTCAGTAATAACCCACACGGAGACAGAAAGTCAGAAGATTAATTGGTCTATAAGTGGTCGGAATTGGAGTACAGTGTAATGTGTTCTTTTGGAAAGGCAGTGCCAGAGGGAGTGATAGTCACCCTATATCCAATTTCCGAAACTTTTTTTTTAGACTATGTACAATGTAGACTGCTAAAAATTATTAATTACTTTGTCTCCTAATTTTAATTGTAATCATTTATCTCTTCAGGGAAAAAATGTTATAAGACTTGAGTATGAATCATATGAGGAGATGGCAGAAAAAGAGATGCGGAAACTGTGTAAACAAGCTAGAGAAAAATGGCCTTTGAAACACATAGCACTATATCATAGGTAAATATTATATTGTAAATGTCCAGGCTTTGAAGCACACTTCACTATATCATAGGTAAGTATTATAAATCTACATACTTTGAAGCATATACATTTACATGGTGTACAAAGAGTGTCAGAGGGTCAGTTCTCCATCTGCTAAAAGCAAGACAGACTCTACACTTGCAGCCATGTATGACTGTGCTCCTTATTAAGTCAAAAACTGTAGCAATTTTTATCAGTCAAGTATTATGGTGTAATTATTAAGTACAGTTTTTAAAGTGCATTGCACTTGTAGTATTTAATCATTTAGCACTGTAGGTTTACTGAAGTTTACTTTGAATTAAGACTTGTTAGTTTGAATATATAAGGGTCTACAATGAACAGTCAATATATATTTCAAGATGTGGAGCTTTTTATTATATCTGTTAGTCTATATATTCATTGTAGAAGAAGATTCATGTCTGTGTAGGTTGTTATAAATCCTGCCCTGTGTCGTGTCTGATGCAGTCAGATGGTTAATGCATTACATGTATGTGAATAGTTTCAAATATTCCCTAAAAGTTCTTCATTAAGCTTTGTAGTATTGAATTAAATGAAATTTATATAGCTGGTATTGATGCAACATTTGCATGATGGTAAAAGTGTTTCTTTTTTTGAGTCTATCTTGGTGGGAGACAGCCAGTGTGTTAAAAAATATTTATATATTTCAATATACAGAATTTTTTGTTACTGTGTATCTATTAAGCATATAGTATATATTCAGTATAGAAGAAGAAGAGGATCCATTTCTGTGTAATTATTAAATACTTAATATTTTTTCTTAATGCAGTAGTATGTATTTTTGTGAATACATAGTTCCAATATATGTTCCATTAAAAATTTCCAGGAAACCTCATGATACTGTGCTAAGTACCATTGATTTCAATACTCTTCATAGAATATTAAAAATTTGCCAGGATTTTGAATTCAGAAGAGAAGCTAAAAATAATTCAAGTGTCACTGTCTTTATGCAGGTTCTTTGTATGTGAATTGACTTACAAGTGATGATAAACACAGGGTACATGATGAAAGGATTCAGAGAAATTAGTTAGCTGGGCGTTGGTGGCATAACCCACTATAAAACGCTGTTTGCAATGCATGCAGCAAGAAGCAATAGAACAGTACGACTTGCAGGATACACACACAGTAGCAAGACTGACAGGCAATACAAAAGACGATAGTGATGCAATCTGGTATCTTTCAGAGGTAGGAAGTACATTGTCTGTACTCTGAAAAGTGGGGTGAGGATGTTCCAGCTTGGAGGGTCATTTGAATTGTGATGTTTGTGCACTTCTGGCAAGTGGGGCCCTCCTGTACTGAAAAATTTCTGTTTGCTTTCAGATTGGGTCTAGTACCTGTGACAGAGTCCAGTGTGATTGTAGCTGTTAGTTCAGAACATCGACGAGAGTCTTTGAATGCTGTGTCCTTCCTTATAGACAGCCTGAAAGCCAATATTCCCATCTGGAAGAAAGAAGTTTATAATGATGGCAGTGGTGACTGGAAACAGAATAAAGAGTGCATATGGGTAAGAAAGGAAGATGGCACAAGCAGCAACATCAAAGCGAATGAAGTCATCAATAACAACAAAAGCACGTAATGTTGGATTTTGTATGTTTTCAGTGTAGCAGCACTGCTCTTCTATTGACCTGATTAGTGAGAATGTTTTAACACTGCTGTTTATGTATTAATGTTCTTTGTGTATATATCTTTAAAAGATATACAGTGCCTGTTTTCCACATAGTTTGCATGTGCTGAACAGTTAGACATGCATATCAGTCTATGTCCAGTGGAAATTTCTGAGCCATAGACATGGTTATTGACTAATTTTCAATTTATTATTTTTTACACAAATAACCCACATGTAGGCGAGAGCTTATGACAACATTTCGGTCTGACTAGGACCATTTACAAAGTTTGTGTGACTTCATAAATGGTCCAAGTTGGACCGAAACATCGTAATAAGCTTCTCTCTCCTATGTGTGGGTTATTGGTTTATTGTTCCAGTAACAGTATTGTGTCTCTTTTTCTTTATTTTTTTTTTTACTTCAATGTGAGTTCTCAAATTCTTACTTTTATAAGTGCTGCATTTGTACATACTGTATATACTACTTCAGTTAGGACTTGAAAGGCATATAGCAGACCTGAGAGAATTAATATACAGGTGTATATATTTTTTTTAAATTGAGTACTGTACAGTATAAGAAAATGGCACAAGTAGAGGTCACAAATATATATACCAAGATATCAGCTAAATTGATACCACTAAAGTTAAAGTTACACTTTCATCTCTCTTAAAACATCTGTATGTCTGCATCTTGTAAACAGAGTTGGGCTTGTTGTTAAGAAACTCTTTTTTCTTAAAGAGCCCAGAAGTTGTGCTCTAATTCTTATCTTTCTCCATTCTTGATTTGTTGAGGATTTAGAAGTTTTCAAAACTGGTGACATACACTGCAATTTCAAGCTTGGGGAAGTGTATTGGACTTGTATTTTTAAATGTTGAAATTAATGAAGCATAAGGCTTACTTCAGTAATTTCATGATTACTATTTTGAAGGTTTGAATTTACATAAAACAGTTGTGAAGTCAAATGTCTAGTATTACAGCCCTGGGTCTGACATGTGTTAAACTGTGGATTTTATCAGAGCACAGATGTGATTTATTTGGCAGCACCCAATCCTGAACTGAGCAGCTCATATCTTTTTTCTTATGCCTGTTGATACTCAAAATGAAAAAACCATCACTAAATCATGATGTACAAACTTGCATGTATACTATGGTATTTTTATCTGCTTCCTCTTTCACTCATGCCTCATTGAGTGTGGAAGTGAAATACCAGGTGGATTTTCAATATTGAGAACCATTGGCTATGTTGTATGATGTCAAGATGTGCATGGGTCCTGCATACACAGCATTTTGAACTCGTGATCATGTAGGATACCGAAGTATACTAGAACCATCTAATGTGAGCATTAACTCCTTCCTTCCACCTCTCTCTACTGCTGTCTCTATCCCTGTCTCACAAAATATTTTTGCTCTCTTCACTTCACTTAGTGCTAAATTTTGGGCACTGCCTTATATGGAACATTGAAGTGGAGATGCTTGAATATATTCCTACTATACTTTATTTCTTGAAACAACTTAAAAATTGTGGTAGCTGTTATGGTATATTACAGTTGGAATGAATCTTTTAATAGAGTGAGTTGTCAAATCTGTTGTAATTTTATAAAATGTTCAGTAGTATTTAGTATATTAGCAGAAATGCGTCCACAATAACTGATAAACAAACAAATTTAACTTTTATTGGCTTTAAGTGGAGTGTGCTAGTATGTGATACCTCAATGCCTGTTCTTTAAATAGAATAATTTTCCTTAATTGTTAATACATAAAGGCATACCTCACTAATACGGCGCTTCACTTAAGAGTGCTTTGCTAATATGACACTTTTCAATTACATATATGTACTATGTATTTTTTTCGTCAAACCGACTATATACAATGGAACCTTGGCACTCGAACTTAATTGGTTTTAGAAGGCTGTTTGAGTGATCTGTTCAAGTACAGAACAGATTTTTCCCACCCAATTTTCTTTTTGGTTGGCTGTTATTACTAACCCTCTTAGGCCCCATGGTGACTTATTTATACAAATGATATAAAAAAACACCAAAAAATATGGAGAAACATAAAATAGTTTACAGTGAAGTTCTGGCTGGTCATGTTTGTTTGGTCGAGTGCCAAACAAACGGTTGACTAGCGAGCTATTTGTTTACCCAACAAAGCGTTTAAATACTGAATTGTTCGAGTACACAGCTGTTTGAGTACCGAGGTTCCACTGTATAATGTATATTGTTTTTTTAACACGCCAGCCATTTCCCACCAAGGCAGGGGGACCCAAAAAAGAAGAAACAAAAGCATTTCTTCTTTTTACATTTAGTAGTTTATAAAGGAGAAAGGGTTAGTAGCCCCTTGCTCCCTTCAGTTATATTTATGTTTATTATTTTTGGCTGTGATGTGCACATCAGGTTAGCCATTCAGTACCGTAGCATTTTTTATTTATTATTTTTATTTTTACTTTTGATAGTGCAAACATGGCATGTGAAAAAAAGCTGTGATTTACTTTAAGGTGATATTGGCTTTTGGGCGGTGGTCTGTATTAACAAGGTATGTCTGTACTGGAAAATTACCATGTTTATAGGAATTATGTTCTGGTGGACCCTAGGCGTGTGGAAAATCAGGTAAAGTACAGTGCTCTTTAACACCCGAAATAAGAGTAATTTATTTTTTACCAATTTCCTATAAAGAGAGCAAATCTTCAAAATTTCTTGCTTGATTTTTTTTGTAAATGAAAATTTGAGTCTTCTAAACATTCAAAGAATTATCACATGCTTTATCAAAAATCAATGTGTATAAACTAAAAAATTAATAATTTTTAAATGTGAAATCAGTCTTCATTACAAACTCTCCAAAATAATTCATCTCTTGACACAATCATATAAGTCATGACCTGATAAAGATCTTAATAGATTGGAATGTTCTCCCAATAAATACTTGTTCTGCAATGTGGGTGTATTTAATGTCATTTTTTGCAGTTATGGAAGTGTGTCTTATAATTTCTTTTTATCCTCTTTTGTTTTTATCCTCATAATTTTGGCAGTTTTAAACTGTAGTATTGGTGCCTCTCTGGCAAGACAGTGATGGAGTGAATGATGGTGAAAGTGTTTCTTCATTTTTGAGTTGCCCTAACTCTGTGGGAGATGGCTGGTTTGTTAAAAAAAAAAAATTCATTGCCCATGAATATAAATATTGTATGTAGGAGTCTGCTCCTACTATGTCATAAGCATAAGAGGTATTGCACAGAAGAAAACAAGCTCCACTTACAAACAGAGAGAAATGCAGGCATGGGGAGATCGGAGCTATAAAGCTCAAGTTGTCATATTTTGTTATGGGACTCTGAGTTTAACTTACAGGTGCAGAAAACATTATCTGCACTTTACCACTGACAGATGAAACATCAAGGAATCAGTTCGTTCAGTAACTTGTTTGGCCGTGGTGGCACTTGTTCTTTTCAGCTGCACAAAACTTCATGTACTAGAACTGATATTGCATGATGTGAATGATTTAGAAAGCCAACAAGTTGAAGAATTAGGCACTCTTGCTAAGTGTCTAATTCTTCAACTGATATGGTTTGTAGCAATGATCCTGTGTGGGACTCCACTAGTTTTACTTGTTTGTCCTGACATTTCTTCACTCACTGTAACTGTCTTCTGTGTGTAGCGAGATATCTAATGAGTTAATATCAGAATCATATTGTTGAGATATATAAATTAGTAGAAATAAAGTTCAGAGTTCAATTTATATATTTTTAATTACATTTACCTTTTAGTTACCTTAAATTTGTTATGTGCAATAATAACCCCATATGTTCTTAGTTTGTAGTATCCGTCCTTGCAAGATTTAAGCTTCTCCAGGTGAAAAATAAAACCAAAACATACATACATACATTTTTTTTTTTTTTCAACAAGTTGGTTGTCTCCCACCGAGGCAGGGTGACCCAAAAAAGAAAGAAAATCCCCAAAAAGAAAATACTTTCATCATCATTCAACACTTTCACCACACTCACACATTATCACTGCTTTTGCAGAGGTGCTCAGAAATACAACAGTTTAGAAGCATATACGTATAAAGATACACAACATATCCCTCCAAACTGCCAATATCCCAAACCCCTCCTTTAAAGTGCAGGCATTGTACTTCCCATTTCCAGGACTCAAGTCCGACTATATGAAAATTCCCGGTTTCCCTGAATCCCTTCACTAAATATTACCCTGCTCACACTCCAACAGATCGTCAGGTCCCAAGTATCATTCGTCTCCATTCACTCCTATCTAACACGCTCATGCACGCTTGCTGGAAGTCCAAGCCCCTCGCCCAGAAAACCTCCTTTACCCCCTCTTTCCAACCCTTTCGAGGACGACCCCTACCCCTCTTTCCTTCCCCTATAGATTTATATGCTTTCCATGTCATTCTACTTTGATCCATACATACATATATATATATATATATATGTGTGTGTGTGTGTGTGTGTGTGCGTGTGTGTAAAGGTAGAAAGTTGAAAGTGAACATAGAAAAGAGTAAGGTGATGAGGGTATCAAATGATTTAGATAAAGAAAAATTGGATATCAAATTGGGGAGGAGGAGTATGGAAGAAGTGAATGTTTTCAGATACTTGGGAGTAGACGTGTCGGCGGATGGATTTATGAAGGATGAGGTTAATCATAGAATTGATGAGGGAAAAAAGGTGAGTGGTGCGCTGAGGTATATGTGGAGACAAAATTGCTATCTATGGAGGCAAAGAAGGGAATGTATGAAAGTATAGTAGTACCAACACTCTTATATGGCTGTGAAGCTTGGGTTGTGAATGCAGCAGCGAGGAGGTGGTTGGAGGCAGTGGAGATGTCCTGTCTAAGGGCAATGTGTGGTGTAAATATTATGCAGAAAATTCGGAGTGTGGAAATTGGGAGAAGGTGTGGAATTAATAAAAGTATTAGTCAGAGGGCTGAAGAGGGGTTGTTGAGGTGGTTTGGTCATTTAGA